AGAAGACATATGTTTTTTTGTTAAAATCCACCACAAATTGACGAAGCGCGGGTTTTAGACATAGCTCTACTTCCGCCTATTGCTTCTTTTCCGCGTCCGCTCATTCCGTAAATTAAGGATTATAGACATGACCGTTTAAAGGCAAACATGCCCTCGGCATGCTTGTGGCCTGTGTGTAGGTGTTGACATTGAGCCAGGTGTTCTCATATAAAGTACATACAAAGCAGAAGTCTTGCGCGGATGCGTAACCGAAGATGTTTGTGCGAAAATGTTTGCCTCTCGTTCCGTTCCTTTGCTATTGGTTGGCCATATAATGTCCGAGGCTTTTGCGAACAAGCTGTTTGTAAGGCCTACGTTGATCGAAGAGCGGGTCTTGCAGTCGGTTGCCCTGAGGCACAATTTCCATCTGAGTATATGCACCCGGGACCGCGTTCTGCCAAGATGCTCTTACAGTAATTACAAACGCGTATTTGCCCGCCGCAGGGCCGAGTCGTTTTTGCCAAATTATAGAAGAGCTTGAGAGAAATTTTTTTATAATGTTATCTGTTACGGCTTTAGCCCATCGACGGTTTAAGCCGCGTATCTAATAGGGTGCACTGAGCTGACATAGAAAACGCACGATATCAGGTCTCTGTCTGATGACTAATCAACTGATCCGGGACTTTTTCAGGCTGGGTAGATTTTCTTTTAAATCAGAGAAGCCTGATTTTAACTTCTCTTCTAGTGGCCTTATAGACAGATACATTTGGAACTCGACTCCTAAATTAGATGCTTTTGTTTCTATACTGTGGGTATGAAATTTCATACGGTCCTAACACATTTCCGGAAATAAAAGTTGCAAACATTAATTTCAGTGTGAGGTTTGCACGGGCGAGACCACAACGTATATCGTATACATGTATCGAGATTTTAATCTGGCGTTTCATTGTTGGTTTGTTTCCGAGAATTGAAATCGACTGTTCCTTACCTTTACATCAGCTAGGTTCATGTCGAGAGGCAACTGAGGTTCTTGTTACGGGCAGCTGAGTTTGCAAAATAATAATGACTCTATTGTAACAAGCTGTAATATTCAGGTGAAATAAAGAGATTTTGTGAAGGCAAAAAAAATTAGTAAAAAAACGAAGTCTGTGATCAAAACAATATTGGAAACGACTTTCGCAGTAAATTTTTTTAACTAACTGTGGCAACGTGCTTCTGGTGCTGGCTCATTCA